CAGCATTGCCAGAGGCTTCAATTTGTTGCAACAAAATGCAAGTGTTACAGAAAATGGAGAGCATGATAATACTGGCTTGGTTGAGTGGGTTTCATTTTGATTACTGAAACGCTGAAATATCTTAACATGATCCTTTGCCTCTTTCAGCTCTCAGACATACAATGTTCTGGAGCTGCTTTGTTTGCAACTCCTCGCAAGTGTCCAGAAGGATTGCACTGACATCCACATTCTGTCAGCAGATGCAGAGTTGGCTTTAGAACCTGGGTCAGCAGCCCAGTATCTGTTCTAGCTTCCTCAGGAACCTCAGACTGTTCTCACTAAGCAGGACTGTAGTTCTTCAAGTGTCAGTCAGCCCTCATCCTCATCTATGGTTAGATTAAGCATTCCCTTTCCTTTGCCACAAGCCTTATTATTTTTCACTTGGCACTAGAAATAGAGACTGAGTTTTCAGCAGCAGGGGGATAAAATAATCAACGTGCAATTCATGAAATCCTAACCAGCCCAAACAATCTTGAAAAAGAAGGTTGGCAAATTTATATTCCTCAATTTCAAAATCTTCAATGCTCCACTTACATAAACAGATGGGCACTTAGAGAAACATAGAAAAGAATGGAAAATGGGAGAATCAGATGGTGGAATAGAGACATGCTAAAACAGAAGGAGAAACATTGGTAAGCGTGAACCAGAGAAGGCGCCTTCCAGAAAAACAGTACAGGGGCACCTGAGACTGACAGACATAGGAAAGCAGCAGACACAACAGTGTAGCGCTGCAGTGATTGATACCCCAGCAGCATTCAGCGAGCAGCGTTTGAGTTGCAGTGGCAGCCAGAACTTCACCAGCCACAACGCGGGAAGGGACTTTCACTGGGCGATCAGGGAATAAACCCAGAAAAAGAAGTTTCCCTCCCACCTGTCTTTTTTATTTGACTAGGAGCAGAGACAAAGCAGTAGATCCCAGATGGGCAGTGCAGAAACAGAGTGAATTTCACTGCCCAGTCCACCCCTTAGAGCCAAATTGGGCATCACTTTGTTTAAAAAGGCAAAGGCTATGGACAGTACTGTGCATGCAGTGAGCTGGGAGTAAACTCATTTCTGGATCAGTGAACTGCAACGTGGCATCCTACAGGTTCTATCCAAGATAAGTCATGGTAGCCCTCCAACATGATGGCCAGCAAATCAAGAACTCTAGCAGTGGCACATCAGGTGTTATTTTGTACAGTATGGGAAAACTTTAAGAATGCAGGGACAAGAGTGAGCTGCACGTGCACTGAGCAGAGAGCAAACTCACTGAGTTTTGTGCATTGCACTGGCCCCACAGGAAAATAATACCAACTACAATGTCTTGCAAATGTTGACTTAACAGACAAAAGGTTCCGGCAAGATCACCACCAACAATAACCTACCTATACCTAATCCTGGGACATGCTTGAACTGAAAGTGGAAGAAAGGTTGTACAGATAACGGTGCAGTCTCAGCACAGTATCACAGGAGGTGGAGAGTGATGAGCCAGGAGTTTGAGCTACAGAGACCATGGTGGAAAACTAAGAACCCAGACCTAGAACTCACTGGAGGGAGTGGCACAAGTGACTGCAAACAAATAGCTGTATACCAACTTTAATAAGTAAATTCGAACTGTAGACCTGTGGGTGACACAGTTTAGAAACCTGCTCCAAGGACAAGAATCTGCTAACTAGAAGTACAATGACTAAGAGCAAAAAAAGAGACAAAGACACAATGAATATGACTGAAATCTCCCCCTGCAAAGTAGCAAAACTGTTTGCCAACCTCAGAGTTCACAGAGAAAAACATCGGGAAGATGGGTGATACAGAGTTCATAACACTTGTTATAAAGCTTCTTATCTACAATGAGAAGCATGTAAAGCATGCATCCAAGGATTTCAAGGAATATGTTGCACTGAAGATAAATCAAATGAAAGCTGATCCATCAGAAATGAAGAATACAACAGGGCAAAGTACAGCGGAGAGTCTCCACAATAGAACGAAGGAGGCAGAAGAAAAAAATCACAGAATTGAAAGAAATTTCTGTCACTAGGGGGATAAAGCTGGAAACAGAGCTAGATCAAGCTAAAAAAAAAAAAAAACTATTCAAGAACTGAAAGACAATATTAAAAAGCCAAATATAAGAGATCCAGAAGGTGCAGAAAGAGAAGCTGGTTTTTAAAAATGTATTTAATGAAATAATAAGAGAAAAATTCCTAATCTGGAGAAAGAATTGGGAAACTGCATCCAGGAGTGGCACAGAACTCCCAACAGGGTTGACTTCACCACAACACACAATAATCAAACCCTCTTCAATTGAACATAAGGGAAAAATCCTTAAATGTGCTCATGAAAAAAAATCAATTTACTTACAAAGGAAATGGCAATTTACCTCACAGGAGACCTCTAACAGGAAATTCTACAGGCCAGAAGAGAATGGAGTGACATATTCCAGATTCCAAAAGCCAAAAATTGACTCCTTAGGATAACGTACCCAGCAAAGCTTTCCTTGTTTTTGAAAATGAAATAAAATTCTTCCACAATAAAGAAAAATTAAAAGAATATGCCTCTTCCAAACCTGCCCTACAAAGGATGCTCAAAAGATATTCTCTTGACAGAGAAAAAGAATAGTATACAATAAACCAAATGCAAATGGGAAGAACATCCCAGTAAAATGACAACACAAGACTAAATCAATGAACAGCCCATTGATAAAATGACAGGACCAAATTACCACCCATTCCTATTACCCCTGAATGGACATGACTTAAACTCATCCATCAAATGTCACAGATTAGTAGACTGGATTAAAAAACAAAACCCACTTACTTCTTGCCTACAGGAGACACATTTCACCAACAAAAATCAGCAGAAACTGTATCTCATGGATTTTGGTGTTTTTTTTTATTAGTTTCATCTCTTCAAAATACTTTCTTCTCATTACATTCTTAGGTGACTCAGATCATACAGTAGCATCATTTTCTTCAAGAAGGTCCTTTATTTTCTTTTTCATTTCTTCAGTGACACATTAGTCAGTCAGCAGCATGTTATTTAACTTCATGGTGTTGCAAATTTCTATTTTTCTTCCTGTCATTGGTTTTGTTTTGTGGCTTTTCGTTTAAAGGGATGTACAGTAACTGCGTAATGGAGACTATAATATCCAGATGTGAGGATACAATGCAATATGAATCTGTACTTCCAAAGATGGACTCCCAGTGAAACTGTTTACTATATCTTTATAATAGGCTGCTGGACTCTGCCATTGTCCATGCCCACAATGATGGAAACATGGCTGTGTATGAAGAACTATACTATAGTAATGATATAGGGGAACTCAGTGAGGAGGGAGGGAATTGGGGAGGGAATAGGGAAATCTCAGGGCTTATGGAACCATATCATAAAATGAAATTATAAAAAGCAGCAAAAATATTTTTTTAAAAAAGACAGAAAAATAAAGGAACAGAAAATGGAGACTAAATAGCGCCTTGCATCTATAATAAAATGACTTTTACAAGGTTTCCAAATTCACTCAAGGTATAATTGACAGTCTTTACAATAAAAGGTGCTAGAGAAACTAGTTACCAACTGGCTCTAGGATGAACACCACATACAAAATTAACTCAAAATGTGCCCAAAAACTGAGATTCAAGACTTCAAGCCTAAAGCATTCTTAAAAGAAAATGCAGAGGAAGAAAAGCTTCAGGCTTTATTAGACAGTAATGATACATTATGAAGCAATGGACCTATTATGAGGACACTAGCAACAATAAGAAGCTGTTGCGTTTCACACACAGACACACAAAATAATTTTTTTGTATATGCACATCAAAATATACTAACAAAAGACTTAAAAAGACAACACAGAAATAAAGTAATATTTGCTAAGGGATTGATATCTAAAATATATAAAGAACTCATATAAATAAACAAAAAACTTGTTTTCAAAATGGGAAATGATATAAAATTTACTGCAAAGGATATAAAATGCTCCACCGACTATGCTGTCTTTCCATATGGGTGCCTGGGAAATTAGTGGAAGACAGCCCAGGTGCTTGTGCCCCCTGCAGTCATGCAGGAGACCTGGCACTTGTCTTTAGACCATCCTAGCATCAACTGTTTTAGCTATTTGGGAATGACCCAGTGGATGGAAAATCTCTGTCTCTTTTGATCTCACTTACTCTAACTCTGTCTTACATGTACAATAAATAATTTTTTTTAAATATAGACAATGGAAATATGCTAACAATCAATAATTAGTAGGGAAAATCAAATGAAAACTATAATGAAATGCCACACCATTAGAACCATTAAAATGGCTCACATTAAAAAAAGTTGGTCAGAATATGAAGAATTTTTTTAAGCTTTTGTACACCGTAGGAATATGTAGAGTGATGTTGTGGTAAATAACATGATGAATAGTCCAAAACTAAAATAGAACTATCAGCAATTCCACTTCTGAGCATATATCCAAAATAAGTAAGGGCAGATTATTCAAAAGACACTATTTATAAATATTCATCAACAAAATGGGTGATTCATATACAGAAGATAATTTGGCCCAAAAGAGGGTTCAGGAAGGAGTTTTCCAGAAAGGAGGGAAATTATAACTTTTGCTGTAGTGCACCTAAAGTTTAAATGCCTTTATCTGGGTGAAACAAATACAAAATAAAAATATTGCATAATTCTGTGAGATACTTGTAGGAGGCAAATTCATAAAAAACAGAGAAGCTGAAAGGTGATGGCTAAAGGGTGGAAAAAAGGACAGGGAATTATTGTAAATTGAGTATATAATTTTAGTTATAAAAGATAAAGGATGTTACAGAAAAGGATAATTATGATAATTGTGAAACACTGTGCACTTCATATAACTGAATTACACATTTCAAAATGCTTGCAAGTATTGTGTAACAATATAAAATTTAGAAAATGAAATGACTGGCTTGGTTTCAAAATGGGTACAATTATACAAATATTATAATTGCATTTTCATAACTAATTACCATATTAGGACCGCAGATGGTGCCGTCAGACACAAATGTTTCATCTCTGTCCTGTGCTGTGTTGTATGTTGTGAGAGTAGGTTGATCTTGTGGTCTGGCAGCTGGTTTATATGTTGATACACACATTTCGTCATATAGATGTGTGTAAATTACAGATAAATTTGTACGTAATACAAATGACTTGTGTGGCCATATACAAACTAGTTTGCCACATAGCAAATCTCTAAAAACATAAAACAGAAACAAAGCATGTTGTTATTTATTGAAATAACAAGTTTCTGAAAGAGTTAAGGTAGAAGAATGTCTTATTAATTTAAACCAAAGCTCCATCATCTTTTTTTTTCCTCAGTGAAGTTTTTTTGAGCACACTCACTTAAAAGTTGGTTCCTGTTGCTTTCTAAGGCAATTTGTCAAGAAAAAATTGAAGATTTCTACAATTTGACAACCCAGATAGTCTACACTGAGGTGAGAATTTGAGGAACTGATCACCAGTACTCAATTTTCTTTTTAAATGTGTGCAGTAATTCACACTCTTCCCATGTGATGTATGTAAAACTATGTGAATTACCTGACACCATGTCTAGAAGGCCTTTCAGGGTCACAGCTCAATTTTTAAATTATGTACACAAAGTGAACAAATTTCAAATACTTCACAGTGCAGATTCTGATGCAGTGTGGTACTTCCCACCCTATTTTACTTGTTATCCACATTCCCAACATATTCCCTATCCTCCTTCTTCCATAATTATTATTTTTTAATATGAATAATGGCATAATATCAGCTCACTTTGCAAAACCAAGCTTTAGATAAAGAATTAAGCAAATAGGATGCAGAATTATAAAGCTGCTCCTCAACGGTACAGAGGCTGTTACCAATAATCAAATCCCCAAATGTGAACCTTACTCATGGATAACATTTTGCTATTCTGATGATTAGTTAACACACATCAAGGAAAAAACAGAGATGCTGATCTTTGGGGGACTGGTATATATCCTTAAGCAAAATGAATCCATTTTCATCTATTTTGTTACAAGATAGGGTTACATTTTTGTAGCTGAATAATATTCTGTGGTATGTGCTTTTATATATGTATGATGTATAAAATATAAAGATATATTTATATATAAAACACATTATAAGTAAATACTTATACATTATATAAACTCTTCTGTATTCATATGCAAAATAGACATGAATATAAAGGCATATATCTTATATATTTACATTATATAAATATATTTATATATCATATGATATAAAATGTACATAAAATAAACACATATATAGAGTTATTAAAATGTATCCATACATTTTGTTACGTGTTTATATGTATGCATATGTATATATACATGCATTATATGTGTGTGTGCATATGTATATATACATTTTTCTTTATCCAGTCATGATGATATGTTGATCCTAGCTATTGTGAATTGAGCTACAGTGAACACAAGTGGTCACAATTAACACTAGTCAGTGGACACATGTAATGGGAGGCTTTGCATCAAGCCATTCAATGCAGATTCTGTCTCTAGGAGTCCAGCCAAACATGTGTTTTCATTGTAATCTAAAATCTACATATAAACAAAATATTATCATCTAATACATACGGATAATTACAAGGATCTCTGCCACAGTTTCCAAATCTGTCTCCTCTGGCATTTACTTCATCATAACACGGAAATGGAGCACCTCTAGTATCTGAAAACAACATCTCAAGTAAATTACATATATTGAATTTAAACTATGTCATAACAAAATACTCATATTGTAAATCATAGCATGATCCCAAAAGAAGTTTACCATATTAGCATTAAAATGATACTGGATAAGGAATAGATGAAAGGGACAACTCCTAATGTTAAGTCTGGCCAAAATTCCTCTGCCTCAAATACACAGTAAATAGCAAATCACTGGAATACTCTATTGTTGGGAAATAAATAATTATGCCCTTCTCCATTTCACAAAATTGCTTCTTTTTAGTCTTTGTTCTCTACTCAATTTGAACATATGTTTTACATTTACTCCAAAATGGAACTGCCCTTCCAGAAAAGAGAAACTGCACTTCCAGAAAAGTAGTGACAACAAACTCTTTGAGCATTTGTTCCAACTCTCCTGCTTCTTATCTCTGTTTTCTCATATCATTACTAAGTAACAATCATTGACTTTTTAGTTAATTAATTTTATTTGAGTGGTGTTGGAAAGAGGAGAATGAGAGAGAGGGAGAGAGAGAGAGGAAGAGAGGGAGGAGAGGGAAGAAGAAAGAGAGGAGATAAAAATAGCACTTTTACTGCTGGATCACATTGGAAAGGGCTGGACCGGAGTGCAGACAGGAGCTGACAACTAAGCTGACTCTTCCATATCGGTGGTAGTAACACAAATTCTTAAACTATCCCTCGCTGTCTTTCAGGATGCATCAATGAGAATTTGAAATTCAGAATGCAGACTAGAACTGAACTCCCAAGTGGGATGAAAGTATCTCAAGAAATGTCTTAACTTCTTTTCTTTTTTTTTTCCTTAAGCTGAGGTGTTAGTATTTTTTTATTATTATTAATTGCATTGCATTATGTGACACAGTGTTATGGGCACTGAGATTTCCCCCACCCCTCCTCGAACCTTCTCCCCATGGTGGATTTCTCCACCTTGCTGCGTTACCACAGTTCAAATTCAGTTGAGGTTCTTTCATTGGAAGTATTTACCAAGCATAAAGTCCAGCGTCTTATTATCCTAGTGGGTTCAACGATTTCTTGGTGAGACCATCTCTGGTCTGAAGGTAAAGCCAGCAAGGTATCATCCCAATCAATTAAAAGCCCCAACATAACATCAACAACCATTTACAACCTTATGGCATTAATTGAAGAAATGTCTTAACTTCTTAAAATCAGAAGGAGCATCACTGTTCATCTGCTTTAATTTTCTTAAATATTCAATCTGTCTAATTTTAATTTTAGACACATTTCAAACGTATACATAATTGTTTCTCCAGCATTGTCACTTGGTGGCTTCGTGAAGAATTGCTTTCGTTCTGGTTATTCCATGTTAAAATTATTGTGATCTTTTGCGATCACCACTACTAAGTGGCAAGAGGGTTCACTTCAGATTTTCATACTTGGAGAACATTCTCTACATATTCCAGTCTCTGGGAGAATATATTCAATAACTCAATGTGAAATGCAATCCCTCTCAGAGTCACAAAGAACTCAAGTAGCCATAGCAGTGGCTCTCAAGAGAAAGGAGTCCCAGACTTGACATGACTGCAATAATTCATGCAGTAGGGAGCAGGTTGTGTAGAATAAGATGGATAAGGATTCCTATCTAGTAACTATTGCAAACAAGTATCAACCTCACTCCAATTATGAGAACCAAAACTGTCTCCAGTAACTTTGTCTAGCTGTCAAACATCCTACAGTACACAGGATAGTTCCTTACCCCCATGTCTGAAAATAATAACTGTCCTAAAATATTAACATCAAACTCTTACATACACTATTACATAAGCACTCAGATACATTTATGTACCATACAACTCAATGTGCTGGTATATACACATGCAGTATTTGACTTTATAACTAGTAAGACTTTCTAACCTCTGGAGGGCAAATGACCAAAACTATTAAAATAATTTTTATTATGTTTATAATAGAAAGTTCTCCATTTTCAGAAATGTAGGAGCTAGACTTAAAACAAAAGGAGATTAGAGGTGGTAACATTTCCAAATGAGATGTCTTTCCTCTACTTATCTATATATTTTTAAATGTATATTGCTTAAAATCAATATACCTCCCAGTATAAATTTATATATATATTTTTTGTTTTAAATGTCATTGCTTGATATCTATGCTATGCATTTTAATAGGACAACATCATCCAATATGTTGTGAACAGAAACTAACGAATTAGCAGAAGTTTGGATTTGTGTTAGAATGGGGCATAAGATATTTATTGGCCATTACCTCTGAATCCTGTTAATTTTATCTTGCAGAGCTAATACCTTCATCAGAATATCAAATCCTATCCAAAGCCATTTTAGTTTACAGGCCATAGATAACTTATTCAAAAAAGCAGAGTTTATTGATTGAATAAAGTCTTTGAGGAAAGTGTTTTCAACATCCTCCTTTTACCAACAAGCTCCATGACAGACTTATAAAGCAGGAGAACATACATTATATATATAATATATATGCAAGTACAAAGAAACCACCAGTCAGAGGCAGACTCCTCACTTCCTAGACCCACTGATTCATCGTCAGAAGGACTGAAGAACAATTATTTAGAAATAACAGCAATTTGGATGTCATGCTTGACTCCAATACGAGAACTATGCTATCTGAGCCAGTGTCGCCCCATACCCAACACTTTTCACAGAGGGCTTTGAAATTACACAAAATCAAGTGCTAATGCTATAGAAACAATAAATTTGTGCAATGTTCTGAGACACTGGCATTCATTTTCTAGCTCCAAATGAATCTTGCCATAAATGAATCCTGGCTTCACTTGTATGGGCACTAGATCATTAATTTGAACTACTTTTATATTATCCTAGTTTTATGAATCATTTGTGTGCATCTAGATTTATTTCAAATTCAGTTCTATCACCATTGTCTTTCCAGAAGTGTCAGCTAATGATGCTGATGTAAAAGCAGAAAAAAGGTATAATAACCATCAAGAAAAAATATATCTTAGTTTAATTTCCCTTCAATTCTTGGCACTTATGTCATCTAAGATATCTAGAGAACTCTGCAAAGACCTAGTTACATAAATCCTAGTGAGAAGTCAGAGACAGAAATGCTCGTGCTGTGTGTGGGAGGTTGTATATTCCAATGACCTAACCTATCTATTAAAAAAAATTATCAGTTCAGCCATGGGGTTGGGGCAAATGGAGCCCCCTGCAGTGTGCAGCTGTGGGAGCTGTCCCAGCCAGGCCAGACCCAATGCTGGGGACTCAGGCCAGAGTCACTGCCAGCAGGCGGTGACCAATTCCTAGGGTTTGGGCAGCCAATGTGCCTATTGGCCGCCAGGTTCTGCCTGCTCACCACCCAGCGGCAAGCTCTGGAGTTTTTAGGATATGTAATTGCTGTCTAGGGACATCCATGGAAAAGGCCAGTGTGAGTATAAATGAGGGATGAATTCTGGGTGCTTCCCAGCAACGGAGTCATGGAACTTTCTGACAAGTGTGGGGACAGAGACCTAGTGGTTTGGAAGGGATAGTCCATAACATCTATTTGGGCCAGACTGATTTACCAGCCCACATGGGAATCCTGAGATGGACTGTTAACGTAGAGCAACACCGACTGCCACACACCAGTCCACACAAAAGCTATGGATGGGGGCCTGTCTGGCAGGGCTAGGTACCAGTACCTGACCGAGTTGTGGAACAGGGGACAGGACACACTTGGCAGGGTCAAGACACTAACCAGCACAATGGGATAACCTGATCTGGGGGCAGATTCTGTGGGGGAAGTGTTGGCCCAACCCTATGGAAATACAAACCCCACAGGTTAGCTCACGAGCTGGGGTGGTGATGGGCTGATCTACGTGTGACCATGGAACCAACCATCACTTACCTATAAGGGAACCGGCAACAGTCTGGGCAGGTCAAAGCAGCAGCATGCAAATGTGCATTCTAAAATAGGATGTGGAGTGGGTCGAGCTGCAACTGGAAGCAGGCAGAGTGGACAGGGCCAAGCAAACCTCAACTCACAAGGAAGAACAGAAATCAGGCTGGAGCACAGGTCATACCAAACTAGGTTCTTACACTGACTGGTCTGCATGAGCCAGAGATACTAGGCCACAGCATCGAAGGCAAAGGCTGAAACAGGTGAGGGGCTAAGCCAACTGGGTCAGAGCAACCACTGGCATGTGCATGGTTGGGGAGCTGTGAGAGTATACCCTTGATGGGTGGGGGTTCCCCCAGGAAAGTGCAGGAGTGTTCTCTGATCTGGATATGGCTGCAATCTCCCTTGGTACAAGTGTGGAATGGGACTAGGTATACCTAACTAGGCTAGACACCAGCACCATCTGGTACTCTGGAGAACCTGGGTAGATATAGGATGGACTAGGTTAGGTCTCTGCCCTTACTGAGCCATGTGTGAGCAGTGTCTGGGTACGGATGAACCTTGACTGGGCTGAAACATCCAACAGTAAGAACTGGAATGGATTGAAGGGCAGTAAGGAAAGGTCATTGTTCCTACTAGGACAAGAGGTGGACTAGGTAGGGCTGGCACATGGACCAACAGCATGCACAAGATCTGGCACAGGAAGAGGTTCTGATGGAGGAGCTTGGGAAACTCCTCTATTGGGACACAGTCCCTGCAGGTGAGTACAAGAACCACTATAGGGAGCATCCCAGACCAAGCCGGAGAAAGATATCCACTGGCATACATTTGGCTTAGGCTGGGGGTAGAACAGGCTGAACCCGTTCACATCACCTGCTGGAAAATCCGAACACCAGAACAGAGTGTTGGCTGGGCCAGGTTTGGTCATGACAAACCAATGCACATTACAGAAAGCCATGGTGAGGTGAGCCGTACCAAACGTGGCCACAGCGCCCCTACAACACATATTGAGAACCAGGGATGGAAGGGCAAAGCCTGCAGGGGGAATGTGAGCTTCCCTCCTGGACAACCATTCCCACTGGAGAGTGTGAATTGGGATGGAGGCAGACCAGACCAGGCAGGGCGACAACAACTGTGAGCCTCATGTGAGCTAGATCAGGGAAAAACCAGGTTGGGCTGACTGTTCTGACTGGTACAAGCAAAAATTAGAGTGGGTGAGGGTTGGTTGGGCTTTACCACAGCATCAGATGGCAGAGGCTGGCACTGGGGACTAAATCGGTCAAGATCAACTCCAGAACCACTTGGAGAGTGCATAATCAGGGAGTGGGAGTGGCCTAGTAGGGAATTAGTGGGCACCTCCCTCTTGGATTACCACTCCCACTGGAGGGCACGAAAACCAGGATGGGGCTGGAGTGGCTAGACAGAAAGGCACCGTCAGTATGTGTGTGGGCTGGATAGTAGTGTTGGTTGGGTTGAACTAGGCTTTAATGTCCATTGACATGTACGAGGGCTAAATGAGATGTGAGACAGACTGAACAAGTCTATGCTACATACTGGCAAGCATGGGAACCAGGGTAGGGGGCAGGTCTTGTGAGGGTTATGGGGAGTCACCCCAATTAGGCTGCAGCTCCCACTGGTTTGCATGAGGGCCAAGTATGAAGTGGGCAGGATTGGGCTAGACTACAATACCCATTGGTTCATGGGGAAGACAGGGCTGGAAACAGAACTGACCCAACAGTTGCAATGACCAGCATGTGCATAAGCTGATTAGGGCGATGGACTGTGCCGGACCCTGTACTGGCATGCACACACAAGAGTCAGATCTGGGATCACTTCAGACGAAGTTTCTTTGGAAATCCCTCCAACTGAACTGCTGATCTCAGAAGCCCAACCATGAAGAGACTATGTCAGTTAGTGGATTCTGAATAGATTTCATCGCAATTGAAACAGCGGGATTGGCAGCAATTCAGAACTGTTGAACTATCAAAACTGCTTGAGCAGGACCCTCGGAGCGTGCCCCACATCGGGGACCTGGATTGGGTGGGAGGCTGGGTGGGGCTTCTTCCTTTTTTTCTCCCCTGACCCTAGATACAGAGGGAAAATGATGATATTAGCGTGGACACAATGGTATTACCCACTTTCCTGTAGCCCTTGACCCTTTGTACCTGATCAAGTTGACTGGTTAGGTGCAGAAGCCCATTTTAGACAGTAAGCACTCTAAAGTCTAATCTTATTAACTCAAAGAAAAGTCCTTCTTTGCATTCAGTCTGAACTAGACGCCATCACTACAAATTTTATACAATATTATAAGCTTGATTTCTATTTGATATCTCTTGCTTCTACGAACATAAATTCAGAAGTTTTTCTCAGACTCAAACAAAGTATGACTTTTGATATCACGACACACTAGGTCAGACGAGTCAGCTAACGAAGCATGTTTGCATTTTTGCCTTAGAGTATGAAATAAAATACTTCGGAATAATCATAACTTAAGAAGAAAAGAAGATGTTCATTACCGCCTCCAATTAACTTTTTACACTGTTTTGTGGCAGTGTTGCATAGCCCCTCATAGCAGAAAGCGTCACCGTCCTCGCAGTGCTCCCCATTGCGCGTGTAAGTGTCCCGTGGACAGATATGGCTCTCCCCGTTGCAATACTCCGGGAAGTCACACTGCTTATCTTTGACATCCCTGCACAACACACCCCGTGGTTTTACCTGGGAGAGAAAGGTAATATAAGATTACTGATCAAGGATATTTCCACTCCTTTTCTCTCTAGCCTCTACATGTCCATCTGTTTCTTTCCTAAGTTGTCAAACCCAGGGACAAGCTATCTTGTTCACTACTCAAGCCTAAAAGATTCGTGTGGTTGAAGTTCTTGTATGTTCAAGTCAGGGGTAATGGTCATGACAGAGAAGCTACAAGTTCAAAGATACAGAAGTTCTGCTATTAAAAAAAAAAAAGAATGATAAAAAGAAGAGCTAACAAAAGGTTCATTGTAACCATTTTTGCCTGTGTTCATACTAGAGGCTTGTAATTTCTCTATACATCAATGTTCGTGTAAGAATCAGCAAAAATGTACACAATGGTGAGTGTGCTTACAAACTTTAAAAATACGTTTTAAAAGATTTTTAAAAAGATTTATTTATTTATTTATTTATTGACTTATTTGCTTACTTACTTGAAAGAGAGCAAAAACAAGAGATAGAAAGAGCATCTTTCATCTGTTGCTTCACTCCCCAAAAGGCCACAATGGTCAGGGTTATATCAAAATGAAGTCAGGAGCCTTAAACTCCATCTGGGTTTTGCACCTGATTCATAGGAACTCGGGACATGTTCAGTTTTAAAAAGGGAACTGGGTCAGAAATGCCATGACTCGAACACACATTGATACTCATATGGATGGTAGCTTGCAGGTAGGTGGTGGCTTAACCCACTGAGCCACAAAAACAACAACAACAACAAAACGCTATTTGAAGGACACGCAGAATAAACTTTACTTGATGTATCATATTGCCAAACAGCTTTTTCTGTCAGTTGCCATAAATGCATTCAATGTTTACTCTTTTTGAAATGTTGTTGTATTATATGTATTTGAAAGGCACTGGTAGAGTAAGGGAGAAACAGAAAGCTTCCATCCAGTAGTACAACCTCTGAAGAGCTACAACGGGCTTTGCAACATCGAGATCCAGGGATCCATCCAGATGTCCCATGAGCGTAGCAGGGGTCTCAATGCTTTGAGCCATCGTCAGCTGCCTTCCCAGGGGATCCAGAGCAGTCAGGACTCAGATCAGTGCCCTGACGTTGGACTTGGAGACACCGATTTCTGCTTAGCCAACTACACCACAATGCTAGCCACTTCCCTGAGTCAGCTTTCACGGTAGCTTCCAGAGCTTCAGCTCAGCATACCTGCTTTTGCCAAAACACGTCTATCTCACCATTGTCTCTGCGTACTCACCTTTCTTCACACTTGCCCCAAAGTTTCATGGCTATCATTATTATCCTATGCAAATGGTTAATACCTCTTTTCTTCAGAATGTTCACCATTTTACAAATGTGTATCAGTAGAAACTTTCCTTGTGTTATAATCACTTTAATACTAAGAGTATTGGGCCAGGCGCCAATGGCCTAGCGGTTAAAGTCCTCACCTTGAACGCACCAGGATCCCATTTGTGCACCGGTTCTAATCCTGGCAGCTCCAATCCCCATCCAGCTCCCTGCTTGTGGCCTGGGGAAGCAGTCAAGGATGGCCCAAAGCCTTGGGACCCTGCACCCACGTGGGAGACCTGGAGCAGGCTCCTGGCTCCTGGCTCTGGATTAGCACAGCATTGGCCCTTGCACTCACTTAGGGAGTGAATCATTGGATGGAAGATCTTCCTCTCTGTCTCTCCTCTCTGGTATCTGACTTTGCAATAAAAATAAATTTTTAAAATCTTTAAAAAAAACTAAGAGTATTAAAGTATTTCAAGTGCTTTTTCGTTGATGTTTTGCTTATTTATTTATTTTTTAAGGCAGAGTTTAAAGAGAGCGGGAGAGGCAGAGATAGCAATTTTCTATCTGCGGGCTCACTCCTCAAAGACCAGAATGGTTGAGTTTGGAAAAGGTGGAAAGCAGAAGGCAGCAGCTTTACTGGGCACTTCCACGTGAGAGCAGGCACACAAGAACTTGAGCCATCTTACACTGCTTTTCAGGGCCTGTTAGAAGAGGGCTGGATAGGAAGTGGATCAGCTGGTATCAAATGAGCACCCAAATGGAATGCCTGCATCACAGACTTAATTTCCTGTGCCACAATATTGACCTGACCTTGAATACTTTTTCAGCCATATTTCATCACTCTACTGGTTCTACTTGCACTCCTGACACTACATTAAAGACTCACATGGAGCTCCAGGACCACAGACTTTGGTCTGGCCTAGCCCAGTCACCACTGTGAAACCCATTTGGCAAGTAAACTGGCAAATGGAAGTTCTCTTACTTCGTTTCTCATCCTATCTCTGTAATTTTGTCTTTCAAACAAATCAATACATCTTTTAAAAATTTGATTGGCAATTATAACACCCACAAAGCACAAGTGCAAAAATAAAATAGCAAAACACGGGCTTATATCAAATTCAGAAGTTTCCATACAACAAAGAATGGAGAAACACCTGACAGAATGGGAAAAAGTTCTAAGTAACCTATCTGACAAAGGGTTAACATCCAGAATATATCAACAACTCAAAAAATTAACATAAATAAAGCAACCAATCCAGTTTAAAAGATGAGCAAAGGGTCTGAATAGATAGTTCTCAAAAGCAGAAATACAAAATGAAGGTACATTTATGAAAAAAACGCTGAGCACCACTAGCCATCCGAGAACTGTTCATCAAAACTACGGTGAGATATCCATTCCTGGCTGCCTATTACCCAAAAGTCAGAGAGTAACAAGGGTATGGAGAACGGGGAACTCATGGAACCACTACAGAAAAAATGCAGAGATTTCTTTCTCTAAAAACGAAGGCAACGATGCAATCCAATAATACTCAAAAGATATGAACACATTGTCTCAAAAGGCTACCTGCTCTGATGTTTTCACCAGCGCTCTTTACACTTGCCCAAACATGCAATGAATGAAGAGTGGGTAACATTTCACACACATGCACACACATACTTCTTCATTGTTTGGAAATATGTTGTATTTATTTCATTAACATGAAGTGTTTTTTTTTTAATAGAAACATTTTTTTAACATTTTTTTTTATTATTTTTTTTTATTGGAAAGGCAGATATACAGAGAGGAGAGACAGAGAGGAAGATCTCTCCGATGATTCACTCCCCAAGTGAGCGCAACAGGCCGATGCTATGCCGATCGGAAGCCAGGAGCCTCTTCAGGGTCTCCCACGTGGGTGCAGGGTCCCAAAGCTTTGGGCCATCCTCGACTGCTCTCCCGGGCCACAGGCAGGGAGCTGGATGGGAAGCAGGGCTGCCGGGATTAGAACCGGCGCCCATATGGGATTCCGGGTGTGCAAGGCGAGGACCTTAACCACTTGTGCCACCGCGCCGGGCCCTAACATGAAGTTTTATGCTGATTCAACTGATGTTGCATTACTGAGATAGATCCCTTCAGTCAAATGCGTTAATTTTGTTCACAGGTTTCCATCTTTCATAGTAAATTTAAAATGTTTAATTTATTTATTTTCATTTATTTGAAAGACAGAGATCCTCTGTCCACTGGCGCACTCTCCCACATGCCTACAACAGCTGGAGCTGAGCAAGACTAAATTTAAAATGCAAGAACTGGACCTGAGCTTCCTGCACATGGGTAGCCTGAGACCCAAACTCCCAGAGCCATCAAATGCCCAAGGGTGTTTGGGATAGGATGAAATCAAAAGCTTGCACTGGACTCCAGCATTCTGACAGATGCGATGCAGTCAGTCCCAGCACAGTACCAAGTGTCTGCTCCTGCTTTTACATCTAAATGCCTGAGCGAATACTGTCTTTTCTTGTAATGCTTTTGTAGATTTTTTTTTCTCTTCTATTTTCTGGAAGAGACTGTGGAGTACCACTATCACTCGTTCTTACCTTGCAACCTTTTGTACAGCATTCTCCAGAGCCACAGTCTTTGCCACTTATCTTTGTACAAGTTCTTGGATCGCAGCAATCTTTATGTGTACAGTTCTATAGAGAAATGTGGAGGCACTTAATTAGATATAGCCAGACCCCATCCAATAAAACTGCAACAGACAAATTTACAAAGAATAAAGCATGTGTTGCAGTCACAGTTTCTATAATCCCATCCTTATAGATTTACAAGAACCAACATCTTATTCAGTACTAGAAAAACAAGTGTGTCTCACTGTATTTCATGTAAGTTGAGCAATACCGCTATAGAACCAAACTTAAACCTGGGAGAAACTGATATCAGATACCCTAACTACCATTTTCTCCAAATTCTTTATATTCTTTCTTGTAATAATAACGTGCATCTCAGATATTTTATACCCAAATAAATCCCCAAGTTGAATAATTTTTATAAATGTAAAACCATTTGCTATACTTGTTCAAATCCTAAAATCTCGACCTTCCTTAGGAAAGGTGGAAACCATGATGTTCTAGACCCACAGAGTTCAATGTGGTGGTCACTAGCTGCCTGTAGCAGGTGTGCATGTGTCCCATGGGGCCCATTCGATGTGGAAATCAGCTAAGGATTAGCGACGCTCACCACCTCCTCCCTATATCCTTTCAGGCTACCTGCCCATTTCTGCTCTTCATAAACACGGATATTTACAAGCCTGTAGGTTATGTTTTTTACATTATTGTTCCCTTTATTGTACACAAAATTTAAAGTCTGCTGTAATCCCATTTGTGTGATTTTGCTATTGTAGTCTGAATTTTTGTTTGACTATAAAGAAGTCATTTTCACAGGCTGTCACATCTACGTAGCTTTAACCTCATAGGTTTATGTTTACTCTTAAATATTTTGATGTTACTGCTCATTAGATTTCTCTTTGTGGTTTATTTTTTTCAGTCCAGTTACTCTTTGAATACAAAAGTGCTACCAGTTTTGTATGTCAACTTCTTAGTTATAATAGTCTCACTTTTTTCTTTTAATTTTTGGAACTGGTGAGAGTATTCTGCATACATGATCATGGCACCTGAGAGTAAGCTGCAATTGCACTCCTTGGAATCCCTTTACTTCTTTCTTCATGGAGTGTTCTTTCTTGTGCTTACAGCATCAGCTCTAACAAAACCAATGACAGTGAGCATCTTGACCTTTTAATGTATTTCAGTGGAAAATCTTTTAATTTTTCTCCACTGAGAATTCGATCCTCATTAATGGCTGTTTTGGCCTTGACCATTTTTAAATTACACTTACGATTAAGAGATTTATTGAGAAAATGAGCACAACATTGTCAAATACCTTCCTCAATTTATGTGATCATATAGATATTCATTGGTTTTTAACTATATTTAGTATTTGTAAACGGAACGAATTACAAGTATTTCAAACGTACGGATTGAAGACCATAATTGTACTTCTGTTAAGTCGTCCTTGCATTGCTGAAGTAAATATGATTTCACCATGTCCAATTTTGTTTACTAATATTTTTGTGAGAATTTTATATCTGTGTTTGTTATAGAAACTGGCCTGTACGTTCCCTTCTTTGCACTGTCTTTGATTTTGGTCTTGTAATGTATACGTGGAAATATTCTTTCTGGCTGTTTTATTGGATATTCCCTCAACACCTGCGGTATTCTTTGCAGTTATTCATTTCAAATGTGGAGCTAATAGAGACACTTAACAATGTCAGCGGCAATTTTTGGAAATTAAAAATTATCTAGAGAGCCTAAGCTGCCCACACTCTAAAATAATAAAATTAGAGTATTTAAAGGTCCCATATTTCTCAAAGAGTTGCAAGTATTTTCAAACTTATCTTACTGCAGAATGAGATTATTCAAATGTCTTTTGTTAAGTGCTATTTTACACGTACATAGGAAACTAAGAAAAAAAATTAAAATTTATACTAACCGCTGCAGTGCCACAGTCACATTGTTCCCCTTGTTCAATTATATTATTGCCACACACTCTCTGTGGGTTTTGTTGTTTGTAAAATGGCTTTTCAAAAGGACTGTAATTACTGTTCGAGAGGCATTGAGCGTCAGAGTGTGAAGTGATAGATTTAAAGTCATCCAAACTGCAGGTGCTAAAATCCTTAATACCCCTTGAAAATCTAAAATGCAAAAAAAATGTATGTATAACATACAATTATTGTTGTAGGTCTATACATTTTTCATTACATTGTTCTGAAAATAGTTCTAAAGAGCCAAATTCTCACATCTGCATTGTGATTCGTCTGTGCTACTCACATCCTCTATGAGTGGCAGTTCAAGTCTCAAGATAACCTGCTTCCAATCCAGCTTACTAACGTGTCTGAGAAAGCAGTGGGAAATGGCACGAGTGCTTGGGCCCCTGATTCCCTTGGAGAAAACCCAGCAGTACTGCTGGAACCCTGGTTTCTTCTTGCCTCAACCCAAGCCACGAAAGCCATTCGGGGAGTGAATCAGCAAATGAAAGATTTATCTCTCCTCTCTTTCACTTTGCCTTTTAAATAAGTGAACAGAATCTTGTTACTAATAAAGTTCTATTACTTACAGAAAGTGATAGTCATACTTTTAAAAATGCATTTTGCTTTCCTAATATATCTTAAAATGTGTTCATTTCTAGGTATTTCAAGATGGTTGACTAGGGAAAAGACATGCTTATTTTGACTAGGGGATGTTAGCAAGAGAAAAGCAGAGAAGGTACATTGCTGTGGGAGAGTGAAGAGAAGTTTGTGTGGAAATCAAAGAGCAGAGAGACACCATGGAGAAGCGTAGAGTGTGTAATCCTGCAGCAGTAAATGGGGACACCACGAAAGGGATGGGGGGAAAGGCAGGTCAGGAGAACGAGCTGGAAGCAGGTCCTCACAGCCAGAGTTATTAGCCAGGCCACTGCGTGATGTAGACTTTCACTGACCACACCTGACCTGACTCCACACTGGACTGGAACTAGAGTAGGGAAAAGGGAACCCACAAATCACCATGAGCAAAGCCAACTTCTTTTCTCCCATTCTCCCAAGGGGCATTCAATCGGTCAAGGATAATGTGCCATCTTAAGATCAGCAATGGTTGCTATAGCTGTAGCGTGTGGCTGCAACTATGTGGAAACACATGACTAGATAATTTTTGCCAAGGGTAAAACCCTTGTTCCTCACTGACTTTTGAGTCTGGGCTAGTGACCTAAAGGGAATGAGTGCCTATCAAGGACTGTGAGGCACATCTGTAACCCTCTACAGGCTCTAGAGTGCAAGCTGACAAGGCAGAGTATGCGTAAGACCTGTTCCGGAAATGACCATGCTCTGCCAATTGTATCATGTATCTTTTATGAACACAATGGACTGGAGCTGGAAATGAACAACTAAAGAAACTGTAATATGCTCAAACATGTGGAAATCAAACAGCACTACTCAATGAGCAACAGGTCATAGAATAAATCAAAAAGGAAATTTAAAAAATACCCTGGGAATGAATTGAGGTGACAAGAGAACATATTAAAACCCATGCAGCAAAAGCAGTGTTAAGAGGGACTTGGAGGTCATAGTCATTAATGCCTGCATCAACATATGGGAAATACATCATTTATCAAGGCATCTCAAAAACCTAGAAAAACATCAACAAATCAAATCCCAAATTATAAAGAAGGAAGAAATAATTAAAATTAGCAAATAAGCAAATTTGGAACAAAAATATGTAGAATCAGTGAACAGCTAATTCCTTGAAAAAATAATCAAAATAGATACACCTAACCAATAAACAACAGGGAAAAGTCCCAAATCAGTACAAATCAGACGTTAAAAAGGAGATACAACAACACAAAGATATAATTATCTGGAATTGTTAGAACTGCTATATGCCAATCAATTGGAAAATCTAAAAAAAAAAAAAAAAAAAAAAAGGATACATCTCTGGACAAATACAATCCATCAAAATTGAATGATGTTGAGGGAGAAGAGAAGATGGCCGACGTAGGAGGAAGGCTGTGAGGGAGTCTCCAGTGAAAGAGGGATAGAAAGTCACAGAAGCAGCAAAGAGGAACAGCAGGGAATCGCAGGGAGAGGTCCGTGAGGCTCCCTGGGACAGTGTGGAGCCAAAAAGATCCACACAACTCGGAAGAACAGCGAGAACGGAGCAGGGCAAAGGTAGAGAAACCGACATCCCACTCCAGACCTGCTGAGTCACTTTTGAAAACGGCCTGACGGGAGACGCGGACAGCCCGGAGGCGGGGAGATCGGGCGGATCGTCGCCGGCGGGAGGCCTTCGGCAGCGGTGGAGGCAGACTGCAGCGGCCGAACGTTTGGTGAGCCGGGGGGTTGACGTGGCAGCCTCCGCATTCCTAGACCCCTGCCGAGGTTTTAGCCTCTGAGAACGCGGGGCAGACGGACTGAAACTGTTGGGTTTGTGCCTTGGGAACTGCGTGCAGTGGTGTTGGTGGCTGAGGGGGCCCCGGGGGGGCGCCTCGGGTGTTCCTACACTGGGGGGGCCAGTGCGTCTCGGTGCGCAGAGGCTGCTGGCGAGGATCTGGAGTCCTCCACATCCTGCCTGGTGGAAGTGAGATAACATCAGGAAGACCCTGGTCGCCGCGCCGAGCGGCTGCGCCGAGCGGACTAGGCGGCCCCGCCTGCAGCAGCCGCCTCCACAGCGCAGGTGTCAGGTGTCAGAAGAGCTCTGCCCAGCTTTGGGAAGTGTAGTGCTGTGTGTCCCCGACACGCAGGTACCACTCCCATAGGGTGAACTGCTCACCTCTCGCCTCCCACCCTGCAGTTCTGAGCGTGGGCGACCCACCAGGAGAGCACTGAAAACTCCTGCATCACACTGACACGGTGCGAACCTGCCGTGAAATTATAACAGGGCGCCTGGGCCACTCCTCCGCTAAGGGCCGGTGTGAGAGAGCCACACAGGAACAGGGGCTCTGAACATCCACACACCACGAGTGGTGGATTCACTGCACAAGAGCCACGCCTGGAAAGTGCCTCACCCACAGTCCCGTGTGTGGGAGACGCACCAGGTGGGCTCTGAAAAACCTTGCAGTCCCTGACACGGAGAACGCAAGGAGAAAGCACATAAAACCTTCTAAGTCCTGCGGATTCCCGTGCAGGGGGCACACCCAGAGAGCGCCTCCATCCCTCCACGCCCTGGGGTGTCACACCTGTAGAAGAGGTGCCCAGAGTGTGCCTGGAATCCACTGGGCCCCCAAGGTGGTGCTCTACAGCCCCGGGCCCTGAGAACGCACCAACGGTGCCTTGAAAATTACCACGCTCGACAACACCACGTCTGCAGGCTCCAATCTCTACAGGAAAGCATCTGACAGCCCCTCAACACACGGGTTCATTTGCCCCACCAGAATTCACCAACGCAATGGGAAAAACCACCAGAAAGAGCTGTGCTCCAGATGAAAGAGCCAGCACCCCACCAAACATGGGCCAAAAGCCATTATCAATATCGGCGATGCGAGATGAAGACATGGACGTGTTACCAGCAAAGGAATTGATGAAAATAATGCTAAAATTTCTCAGAGACGTGGACACAAAGCTGGAAGACTACCAGAACCGCATAATCACCGAAATACAACAAATCAAAACCAAACTGGATGCCCAAGAGAATAAAATTGAAAGCCTCATCAACAGAATAAATGCGGCAGAGGAAAGGATCTCTGAAACAGAAGACACACAAAATGAAAGTGCCCAGCGAATTAAACAGCTGGAGACAAACCTCAGCAAAACTAATAAAATGATGCAAGAGATGAAGGATTACCTTAGAAAACTGAATATTCGGATCATCGGCCTCCCTGAGGGAGTAGAAAGAGAATCTGGGATGCAAGCAGTGCTTGATGAAATTATACAGGAAAACTTCCAAAACACTTGGAACACGAATCCACCCCGCATACAGGATGGACAGAGAACTCCCAACAGACATGACCCAAAGAGATCTTCACCCAGACACACGGTGCTCAGGTTCTACTCCAATGAAGACAAAGAAGGAATCCTGAGACAAGTACGAAGTAGAGAAAAGATCACATACAGGGGAAAACCCATCAGAATCACTGCTGACTTCTCCGAAGAGACCCTACAAGCAAGGAGAGAATGGACAAAGATCTTCCAAGTCCTGAAACAAAACAACTGTCAACCAAAAATAATCTACCCAGCAAAGATCTCATTTGTATATGAGAACGAAATCAGATACTTCAATAGCAAAGAAAAACTAGAAGAATATGTCTACACAAAACCAGCTCTGCAAAGTCTCCTTAGAAATGCGCTAGTCCCGGACAAAAAGGAGGCAAATCACAAACAAAGATGGCAAATAAGAAGGTCTCCAAACTAAAAGCTGCACAAACAAGACAACTACATAGGCAACAACACACACACAACACAATCACATGGCAAGGCAAAATTGCAAACTCTCAATTTTAACTCTCAACACAAATGGTCTAAATTCACCAATCAAAAGACAGAGATTAATAGAATGGATCATCAAACAAGACCCAACCATCTGTTGCCTACAAGAAACGCATCTAACCAGAAAGGATGCAAAGAAACTGAAAGTGAAGGGATGGAAAAAGATATTTCACGCTAATGGACAAGGAAAAAAAGCTGGGGTAGCTATCCTAATTTCAGACGAGATAGATTTCATTCTAACTAACATCAAAAGAGACAGGGAAGGCCATTTTATACTGGTGAAGGGAATGATCCATCAAGAAGCAATCACCATCATTAATGTTTATGCACCGAATCTTAATGCACCTAGTTACGTAAAGCAATTACTTACAGACTTAAGGGAAGACATAGACACCCGGACAATTCTTGTGGGCGATCTCAACACACCTCTAACAACAATGGACCGGTCTACGAAACAAAAACTCAACAAAGAAACAACAGAGCTCACACAAACAATAGAACAACTGGACTTAGTAGACATATATAGAACTTTTTATCCTAAGGCCACAGACTATACATTCTTCTCAGCGGTACATGGCACCTTCTCCAGAATCGACCACATGATAGGACATAAAGCGAATCTAAACAACTTCCAAAACATTAGTATCATACCATGTACCCTCTCAGACCACCATGGGATGAAACTGGAAATCAACAACTCAAAACTCCCCAGGAAGTATAGGCACTCTTGGAAATTGAAC